CAATAATTAATAAATCCATCAATACACTTAGCATAATAAATAGTAGCATAACCACCTTTTGCTATTTGTTTAATATCTTGAAATCTATTATAAGGTATCCATTCTATTACTTTATCAGAATCATCAGCATTTAGTTGAGCATCTTGAATAAATTTATCTATTGTAACATTTCTGCTTGTCCATTTATCAAAATTATTTTTAAAATGTGTTGGGTTACATGATATGCATCAATAACTATAATATTCTTGATTGCATTCTGGGCATATAACCATTTTCTGTTATGTAAAGTAGGTAGAAGTTTTCTTTTTTATAAAAAACTATAAATAAATTGGATATGAATAATATCACGTTTTATGTAAACGATTTAAACGTTTAATATCTGATTTTTTGAGATAATGCAATGGCTAACCTTTTATAGGAAATGCAAGGTTAGACTATTCATCTACCCAATCTCGAAATCATGAATATGAATATATCATGAATAGACATTCCATTTTGTTAACATTATTAATTAATCGTAGAGAATACTTATTTCGTAAAGTTCACAAAATACACAAACGCACTTTTATTCAAGATCTTTTTCATCAAAAATACATTTTTTCTTCTAATTTTTTTTTCAATACGCCAATGAATAAAAATGAAGACCGAAATAATCTAGAATCAGATTTAAGTATAGGGTTAGAGGACTCCATAGAATCACCTGTAAAAAATTTTGATAATAAAGAACCTTTTCATAGTTTTAAACAACTATTTAAATTAGCTCCGTATTTTTTATTAAATGGAGATCAGATTCGACCTCTTCAAGAACCAAATGAGTTTTATGAAGAACTTAAGGTTTAATTGATTTTATTTTTATTTTTATTTTTTTTTAATTATTTATTTTTTAATTTTCAAAAAGATTTTTCAGATTTTTTAACGTAGATATTAATAAAACAAGAAATTTTTAGGTACAAATTCTTTCCGCTAAAGAACGAATATTCTTAGCTGCTTTATATATTGGAGCTAATGAGAATGAATTGGTAAAAAATAATCAATCAAAAATCTTAAAATTCAATTAAACGAATTTATATATGCTATATAATTTGTGCTATACATTTGTTATATATATATATATATATTGGAATATAGATTGAAACCATTAAAACGGCTGTCAAAAAATCGAAGAAAATTAAAGTACATATATTACTCGATTGTTTGAGAGCCACCAGAGTTGTTCAGGCAGATCAAAGCTCCGCAAGTCTTTTAATGAATTTAGTTAAAGAATTTCCGGATCAAGTGACCGTATCATTGTATCATACACCAGATCTCACAGGTATTCTTAAAAAATTCTTACCTCAAAGATATAATGAAGGGATTGGATTAATGCATATCAAAGCATTTGGTTTTGATAATAATCTTATGTTAAGTGGGTAAGTAAAATTTTTAATTGATTTATTTGATATATATATTTATTTATTTATTTATTATTTTTATTGATTTATTTGATTGATATATATATATATTTTTTTTTTATTTTCTTTTTAATTTAAAAGAGCAAATTTGAATCGAGATTATTTCACCAACAGACAAGATCGTTACTTATTATTCAAAAATGCTTCTAATATAACCAATTATTTTGCAGACCTTTTGCAAACTGTATCAACTTTTTCATATAAATTGACTACAAATTCTACAAATTCTACTACAACTCAGGATGATAAGAAGAAGTCATATGAATTAATATTATCTCAATCACCAGATCCCATAACTCAAAGTGATTTATTTAGAAAACATGCAACATCGTTAATGAAAGAATTCATAAAAAAATGGATGATAGAATGTGAATTGATTGCACGACATCAAATTGATCAAATTGATCAAATGAATCAAATAAATCAAATGGATGATCAAAAACAACAAAATAATTTTGATACAATTATTTTTCCAGTTATTCAAATGGGTCCATTATCAATTAGACAAGATGAAACAGCAACTTTATATATTCTTGACGCGATTACGAAATATGGGGAAAAACATAATAATGATAATGATGAAACTAAATATTGTAACGTATTTTTTACCTCGGGATACTTTAATTTTACAAAGAAATTTAAAGAAAAAATATTAAACACCGCAGCAAAATTTAGAATTCTAGCCGCGTCACCCGAGGTAATTAGTTATATTAAAAATTTTACTTCACACGTAGATATATATATGTATATATATATATATATATTTTTTAATTTTTTCTTTTTATATATTTATATTTCTTTCGTTAAATTAATTTAATTAAGGAATCTTTGTATGCTTATTTTAGGCTAATGGATTTTTTTATTCCAAAGGGATATCTAGATATATTCCTCATGCGTACACATTAATAGAGAAACAATTTTATTCTGATATATTAAAACATGGAAAAAGTCATTTGATAAAAATTGAAGAATTCAAAAGATCAAATTGGACTTTTCACGCAAAAGGTTTTTTTTTTTTTTTTTTTTAATAAAATTTTTTGTTAATAATAGATAACAATAATAAATAATAGTTAATAATAGAAGATAATAACATAGATAATAATAATAATAATAATAATAATAATAATAATAATAATAATAATAATAGATAATAATAATATAGATGATAATAATAATAATAATAATAATAATAATAGATAATAATTTCTTTCTTGATTATCAGGATTATGGTATTATATTAATGGACAACAATTGCCAAACTTAACAATAATTGGATCATCAAATTATGGATATAGATCAACTGAGAGAGATTTAGAAGCTCAAGTTATTTTGATTACTAATAATGAGATGTTACGAAAATCTACTCATCAGGTATATTAATTTATTTATGCGGAAAATAAAATTTATTTTATTTTATTTTGATTTATTTATTTCGTATTTATATTATACAGGAATTACAACATCTTCGAGAAAATACTTTCACAGTAACATCAGAAACATTTCAACAAGTTGACAGGAATGTTCCATTTCTGGTCAAAGTCATTACCAAGTTAATAAATACAATGTTATAATCTTGTGAAAATTCTTAAATGTATATATTTAATAAAAAAAAAAAGAAAGTTAATTTTAAAAAACTTCTGATAACGATTGATATGCTCAACCATTTGTTCAATGATTTTGATTCGTTAAATTCAGTATCTCACTCTATTATTACAAACTCTATTATAACAACTTGATTAAAAAAATATCAATATATAATTGTGAAATATAAAAAAAAAATATGAAATTATATAACGTATTAATACATGTAATAAGTGTTTAGACTTTATTAATAAACGTTCAATAACAAAAAAAAAAAATTCTTTACTAATATACAATAATATTGATGATATTATATAATAAACAATATGGTATTCTAAATTTTCTAATTGAAGCTTTAATTTACTGTATTTCAGCAACAGAATTCATTTACACTACCATCTTCTGATACTGATCTACAACATCGATTGCAACAATCACATGAAGTGCATGGTTCTTCTGTTGTGGTGGTAGTAGGAATAGTAGGAGTGATGGAAGTGGAGACGGAGGTGAAGATGGTGAAGGTAGAGATGGAGGTGGAATTACCCTCGCAACAATTGCCATATTTACCATCGCTTGAATAACAACATCGAGAACAGCACTGTAATATAGACTCAACGAAGCCTATGTAACACAGAGAACCGGCAGCTAAACACGTGGAAGTCGATGTGGAGGTGGTGGTGGTGAAGATGATGGAAGTAGAGACGGAGGTGAAGGTGGAGATGGAAGTGGAGGTGAAGTTGGAGATGAAGGTGGAAGTGGAAGTGGAGGTGAAGGTGGAGGTGGAGGTGAAGTTGGAGGTGGCGATGGAGATAGACGTGGAGGTGGAAGTGGGGGTCGCAGTAAAGATTGATTTTATGGTTGAAACTTTAGGACATTCCAAGAAAATGGTTGGAGTACAAAAGATAGTCACTATGCATAGTCCATGCTTAAGTTGGACTTTACGTCGTTTACCAGGAATGCAGATAACTTTGGGCTTTTGATGATTAAAATGTCTCTTGTTAAACACTGGAGTAAAAAAGGGAGAGTTAACGATGGTTTTGACAAAAGTGGAAGTAGTTGTGGTTTTGGTAGTAGTCGTGGCGTTAGCAGTAGTCGTCATGGGGGTAGTAATCGTAGTGTCGGTAGTAGTCGTGGTGTCAATAGTAGTTGTGGTGCTGGTAGTAGACGTGGTGGTGGTAGTAGTCTTGGTGCCTTTATTAGCCGTGATGGTGGTAGTAGTACGACTTCTTGGGCAATGAGGGGGACGAATGGTTTTAGTATGATGTTCTGAAATAGTAATAGTGCGGCATTTTTTAGTTGCTACTGATGATGAGAAAAAAAGTATAAAGATGACTAAACTAGTCGTAATGAAAAGAAAGTTTCTATTAAACCACATCTTTTGAGACAATAAAAATAGCAAATCAATTGATAAATTCAGTGTTTTGCTCTTAATAAATCATTTATAGCGTGGTATGTTTATGTTACATAAATTTAGAAATAAAATTAAATTAGTTGTAAACAAACAAATAACTAAATGCTATTCTGTATGCACAACAGAAAAATAGCTTATAATCATTCATCTGGTCTGTAAATATTTTTTATCTCTGAATACAACAATCATTAATAAATTTTTAAATTTTAATAATTTTAACTATTATTTTTATTTCATTAGTTCGAAATTATTATTACGGATATGAGAAATTAGAGAATACATTCAAGTGAATATAGGCGAAAGTTTTTTATTGAGTATTATTTAATGTGACGTATGGGATATTTTTAGTGAATTGGACGAGGATATTAAAGTTTATTTTTGTTAAAAGTTATTTATTCGAATTTATTTGAGGTGTATGGATCTAACGATAAACTCTATTATAACAACTTAAAGACTATAGTTTTCATGCATTATAAAATATTAAATAAATAAATAATTGTAAATAAAATTCTATTTTAATATCATACAAATAAATTTTACTTTAACTAGTTATATTTTACATCATGTTTATTGAAAAATGATCTTAAAAACATTATGCTTACTAAAGATTTTATTAATTACTTAATTAATTAATTAATAAACGTTAAATAACTAAAAAAATTTTTACTGGATTGTCACATGGGTAACATGTGGACGGGTGTGGGAAAGGTCGATCTATATTTGTATATTTATACCCTTAATCGCATGTAAAATTTCACAAATTTCACAACACATCTGCACAATGTATTAGTGATCGATCCAGGTGAAATATCACATTCTTGTATGTACAATATGGCTTACAAGAGAGAAAATCTCGAATTTAAAAGGAAGTTGAAAAATTCATCTGGTAATATGTGGTTTGTTAATATTTAAAGAGTACGGCAATTATTATTAATTTTAATAATTTTAATAATAATTAACTATTATTTTTATTTCATTCTTTCGAAATTATTATTATTATGGATATTATATGGGAGTCAATGAATATATGCGAAAGTTTTTAATGCGTAACGTATGGACGGGGATATTGAAGTTTATTTGTTTAAAGTTTATTTGATCATGCGAAGAACCATATTTGAGGTGACTGGTAAGCAAAAATATCGTTTTGATAGACTATGGTCATTTTTTTGATATACCTATGGTTACTTCTTTGATATATCATTTTTTAACTAATTATTCGATGTTCACGTGATTTTTGTTATTCTATAAATTACATATTTTAGTGCATCACGTTATCACGTTACTTAAAAATAAGTCTATCAAAAAGATAACGCAAAAACGATACCTTTGCGACTGGTAAACTCTACTACTACTAATATTTTATATCACGTGACATCTTATTATAAGCAAGGCCTTGACCTGTCTCCTGTAAAGTTTGGGCGTAATTTCATTTTGTAATCAACAATTAATATTTCACCATTTTTGTTTTAAATCAAAAAGAACTGCATTGAATTGTGCATTCAAATAAACTTTTTGGTTTGGTGAGCAAGATGATAAAGTATTCTATTTTTGATATTCTTGAATTTTTAAATTTTGAAAAAGAAACAATACAATTTTTTTTTTGACATTCATTACAAACATGCATTACATTTACCAAATGCATATCGAAGACAATGATTTATGCATGAATTATGTAATATTTTCCCAGATCCGTTACAATTAGGTGTTCCCCCGTATTTTTTTAAAAAAATATTTCGTTCAATATTGTTCTATTATTTATCATCATCGAATTTCTTAATCAGTGATATCCGGAAGGGTTGTAATACATCAATAATAGGCATACTAAGAATTGCTAAGTATGACTACTATTTCCTGCCCGATCTCTAGATAATAAAAGTATATTAAATGTTAGTGTAAATAATTTTATTCAAGAAATTATTATATTTATTGTTATTTGATATAATATCTGCTGAGTATTCCTAAATTGTCACGTATCCAGTTTCCGTGTATCAGTATCTGGGCTATATCTTCACCTATATCAAATTGTGAAGAATGTGAAAAATTAAAGTATTGTTTGCTTAAAATAACCAAATTCTCCTTCCTCGAATTCTTTTGGTTAAAATAAATTTTTTTGTTAAAGTGTGCAAGTTTGAATGAATTAATTGACTGTTAAGAGCGCGAGTGATGTAATTTATATTAAAATTTAAAGATTTCATTCATTTCAATGTTTTCTTGTTCTTTAAAAGAAACTCAACTTATTAAGTTTATTAAAATAATTATCAAAATAGAAGAATATATATTGTAACTTAACATATTGATAAATTTGCAATCCTGAAATTCAAGATATTCAATTTTATTTAGATGATTATGTCATGCGAATAATAATATAATAATAATTAATAATAATCTTGAAATTCAAAATAATTAATATTTTTTTTTTGTATAAATAATTAGATGATAATACTGGACTGAAAAACTTGTAAATCAAAAAAGAAGAGATGAGGAAGAAAGTATATTCAATTTCAAATTTTTATAAAATTACTAGTATTCCCAGCATTGTCCAAGGTCCGCGTCCGCACCGTCCGTAGCCTTAAATAACGTATAAATGCATGTTAAACTTTACAGATATATGTAGAAATCAATTCTAAATAACGTTAATTAGTAGCTCAGAGCAAAATTTTATAATAAAATTTTACGTTATTTACGTTTTAAAAAAAAGTAATTTTTGTCCAAGCGCTATTCATGTACAATACTGCTGTCTCCACTCCACCTTCAATTTCAAATGCTCAAAACTTAAGAACTTACTAGAATACTCAAGCAGAGAAAGCAGAAACCTTGTCTCGGAAATTGTGGTTAAGATGAAGTAGATGAAAGAAACAAACGAAGAAATAGTTATTATTTATTAAATAAACATCAATATTTTTCTAAAAATAATTTTCTAAGAGTTTCAAGTTAAAACCTTCAACCCTTTTGAAATCTATATGCTACAAGTTCAAAAAAAAAACTCCCATTTTATTTAAAAATTCTAAATATTTATTTCTTATTATAATTTATACAAATTAAGAATACCCAATTTTATAAGTATGCGAGATTGACTCAATTTTATGTGACAAAATCGAATAGAACCAAATCGGTCCATATGAAAAAAAAATTATGAAACATTAAAAATAGATGTAACAAAAATTTTTTTGTTTGTTTCGGAAATATCTATTATAGGTAAATTCACACACAAAGTAATTGTAGATTATATGCTATGAGTACTTTCAACTAATTCCAATTTTGATATAAGCGAATTTTTGATAAAAAAAGAAGAATCTGCCAATTAAAATTTTCGAATTTTTCGTTATTTTGCTATAACGAAGGTTTGCCGAACTCGACATCATTGTTCATGTGTTTAAATACAATAATCAAATCATGTGGATATAAATATTATTGTTCTCTTGTTGCTTGTATTGCGTTTTATTGTTATTAGCTAAATAAATAAATAAAGGAGTGAACTAAGTAAAAAAGGTAACGTTATGCATCAATTGTTTATAAATAGCAAAATAAGATAATTAAAATATAAACCTGTAATTTTATTACAAATTAAAATTCTTGAATACTAAATAAAGTATTCTGCATGTAATATATTAATTATTATTATTTATTCATTATATTGATTATATTATTTATTATTATTTTATATTATATATGTTACGTTATGATAAATAAATATAAATAAATATAAATACTATTTTTCTTAATTTTTTTTTTTTTAAAAAAATAATTATCCATGCGAATTCTGCTGGCTAGAAATTCGATTTTATTTAGCAGAGCAAAAAAAAAGAATAAATAAAGGATATAAAATATTATATAATATTTATATCTTTTCATTTAATATTTATTTATTTTTTTTTTTATTCATTCATTTTTCATTAATTCATTCATTTTGATAACTTTAACAGTTTAAAAAAAAAAAATTAAAAAAAAATAAAAAAAAAAATGAACAATTCACAAATTTTAGTTATATATTTTATATTCTTAATTTTATCATCTTTAACCAATGCCAAATTCATAACTTCCACCGTCACCGTAAAATCCTCAGAAAGATCATTCACTTATATTGAAAAAAATAAGAGTATAACAAAATCACCTAGAATCTCGGGAACTATAACCATGTCGACATTACCTAGTGGTTCTGATTATACATTTCCATCTTTATTATCCACAAAACCTTCAAAAAGTTTAAAAAAATCGTCGGGATTTTCAAAAACAACAATAAGAACAACAAAAACATCAAAAACATCAAAAACAACAACTCATTCATCATCATCAACAACATCAACAGCATCATTACCACCACCTGAATTAATTACTCCAACGCCTATTTCTTCTTTCTCTAATAGAAAATATTATTCAAATGATTTATTAACTGGAATTTTTATAATTGCTAGTTTAATAATTCAATTTTGAATAATTATTATTATTATTTATATAAAAGGATCAATTAAATTATTTTTAACAAAATTATAGAAATAATTATATTCTTAACAAACAATTACCAATGTTCTTTATTTATTTTTTTTTTTTTTTTAAAAAAAAAAAATGTCCTCCTGTATAATTATTTCCTTTTGTTTTAAAAAAAAAATTATTTCCTTTTATTACAATAAATATTTTTCCTTTTTTTTTTTTGCATTAATTTAATAACCAATAATAATTAATAATAGGTAATAATAATAACAAATTATTACTATTTTGTAAATTATTATATATATATAAACAGATATATTAAATTGGAGATGGATTCATTACTTTTTACTTTATGTATTTTATAATAAAACACACACATTATATTTGCAATTTGTAATAATTATATAATCAGAAAAAAAAATAAATAAATCGATAGAATTGATTGAATTAAAAAATATGGGCATTAAAATAATGAATCATTAAATAATCAAAGATTAAAATTCGTATACGAGTGACAGATAATCAATTTTCTTTTAGTAAATACTAACTCAATCTGGTATTCTCGAATTCCTCTTACAGAACTAGATCAGTAATGCTATCTATAATTATAGTTAGTGCAATTTGTTACAATGACAATTTAATTCATTAGGTTCGCAAGTGACCACGAACATCTTATAAAAGCATTATTTGTCATCTATCAAAGAAAAAAGAATTTATAGAGGATAAGGATATCTACCACAATTCTTCGTGAGAGTTGCGCCATACGTCGTAATTAATTACGATATGTGTCCTAATTAATTATGACTACGTCATAACCTTTTATATTTCCTTTTTTTGAATGGATTTTTATATTCGTTCAATTTTTAGTTTTAAGATCAGCACTTCCGTTAAAATTTTAACAAAGGAGATCAAATTTTGACTTTTTGGAGAAAAAATTTAATTTGTCCTTCTAAAAAATCGGTTTTACATTCCAAATTTTTATTCTTCTTAGAGAAGGTAATGCTGATCTTGAGGTCAAATAAATAGATAAGCACTACATCATATTATTGCCCACAATCTACCTATTTTTACTGATAGCAAAAAAAAAAAAATATATATATATATATATTTGTGATATATCATCGAAATCAATCAAGTCAAGTGAAAGAAAGAAAGATTGAATCTCGGCCTTTGAATTAATTATTTTATATATTAGATAATACTGAATATATAATTAAAAAAAATTCAGAATGTGAAAATGTCCCATATGAGAAATATCATACTATGTCCATAGAATATATAGAATAGTAAATATATTAATGATCATATAAGGAATCATAATGAGAAAAAGAGAAGGTTAATGCTAGTTGTAATTTATTTGACATTTAATGTGATAGATATATATATATATGTAATAAATAATAATAGTAATAATAATAATAATAATAATAATAATGTTAATGCATAGTGGTTGGTTAAAAATGTAATAATGATTAATGATTTCTCTTTTTTCCTTTAAATCCTAAAAAAAAAATACTTAAAGAAAATACTACTCTTTTTCATGATTGGATTGATGATACATAATTCATAAATAAATAAAATAAATGAATAAAAAAAATAATAATAAAAATAAATAAAATAAAATAAATGAATAAATAACTAAAAAAAAAAAATAAAATAAATAAAAACGCATAATTTAAGCATTCTCTACTAAAAAATTAGTTGCTTTTTCTAAATTATAATCATATCTTTCCAAAGCATCAGCTGATTGTTCTTTAGAAAATCCCATTGATTGTAAATATTGAATTGGATGAAGATCGGTATTATCTGATGAAGGTTGGGGAGTTCGTGTTCGTTTAGGTAGTTGAGGTGGCTGAGGTGAGGAATTATTATTATTATCATTGGAAGTTACTAAAGGTGGATCAATTGAAGTAATAGATGAAAAAGCGTTATTATTGTTATTATTTGTATTAGTAGTTGTGGTAGTTGTAGTCGTAGTAACGGAAGGTGAAGTTACAGTAAAAAATTCAGAAAAAGCATCCTCAAATCCGGAATTATTGGTGGATTTCGTTAATTCATTAGACGATATTCCTCCAAAAGCTTCATCAAGATTTGATTTTATAGTACTTGTGGTTGAAATGTTTGATGTTGGGAATGGATCAAAATCGTCAAATGCTTTAAATTTATCAAAATCTAATGGACTCGTCGTTTTAGTAACGATATTATTATTATTATTATTATTAGATGTTTGTTTAATTTGATTCATAGGTGTTTCAAATGTTGGATTAAAATCTTCATCAAAATCCGTATCATCAAAACCTGCATCAAAATCAATAGGTGTTGTCTTAATAACTTTAGCTTCAGATAAATCTCCAAATGCTGCTTCGAATTCATCTTGAGTATTATTATTATTATTATTGTTATTATTATTATTAGATATATTCTCAATTGAAACCCATGCATCCGAATCTCGTTTTTTTAATGAATCACCATCTTGTTCTATTTTTTCTTGTTCTGATTTTTGGGTTAATTCCGAGAAAACGTTTTCTGTCTCAATATTATCCTTCATATTTTCAATATTCATATCTTCCAGAGATAACTCTTTAACGGTTGATACCAAGTCAGGTATTTTATCATTAGATTCAATTATAACAGAATTTGTATTCATAACTTCCTCCTCCGTTGTTTTTGTAATATCTTTAATATTTGTAATATTTTCACTTTTTTTTTCGTTATTATTGGAAAAACTAGTATTAAAATCACTTTCAAATCCTAATTTTATTCCTCCTTGTACGGAAGCTTCAATTTCTTCTAAACTGGGAAAATCCGTATTAAATGAATCAGTGGATATATTATTATTATTATTATTATCATCATCATCATCATTTTTCAAACCAATTGACGAAAATGCTGAATCAAATTCGGCTTTTCCGGAAGTTTGCTTCGTAGAATTACCAAAAGATGCAAAAGGATCAATCGCTTTTTCTGTACTTTGCTGTTGTTGTTGGGTAACGATCTCGTTTTGGGAAATATTTGATGTTTCTTTATTATTTGTAGAAGTAAATGAATTTTCAAAAGGATTGATACCTCGAGACGTTTTGTTATTATTAGTCTCTTTTTTAATATCACTAATGAATACACTATCAAATTCTAAAGGCATAGAATTAGGTTTATCAATTCCAATTTCTTCTATTTTCGAAGAATTTATAGGTGCGGATTTAATACTTGATGTACCTTGTGTTGAATTAGAAGCGGTAGAAGCATTTGACATGGTTCTTTTAACTCCTGCACCTCCAATAGATGACATTGATGAACGTTGTCCTTGAATGAGAGATTTTTGTTGTTGTTGTTGTTGATTATTATCACTACCACCAAATTCTAATCCTGATTGGAAATTCATAATTCCTGGAAATGAAGTATTATTATTATTATTATTATTATTGTTATTATTATTCTGATTAAAAATGGGCGGAGTAAAAATTGGATCATGAACATCCGAAAGTTCTAAATTTTGTACATTCTGTAAAGTTTTAGATGATTTTTCCCTTTCACCCTCTACTGCCGCTAATTGTTTTTTATTAATTACCAACATCCCTTTTTGTTGTTTACTTTCTTTTTTGATTTTCTCTATTTCCGCTTTTATGGCTAAATTTTCTTCTTCAGCAATTCGCATTTTCTTTTTAATATCTAAAGTTTCTTCACGATCTTTTTGAATATTTAATTTAATTTGTTCTTTTTCTTGTTGTAACATGATTAAAGATCTTTCAATTTGAGCCAATTCTTCCCTAACTCTTTCAACACTTTCATGTTCAAGTCGATATTTTGCTTGAACTTCTTGTAATGATTTTAATTCTGTATCATGTAATGTACGTAATTGTGAAATACGTACTGATAATTCACTTTTTTGTGCAGCTAATGAAGCAAAATTGGCGTCAATGGTTGAATGATCATTTTTAATTCCGATTGTGGTATTTTCTAAAGAATCTGCTTGATGTTTAAGATTTTTGATTTCACCACTTTCAATTGCAAATTTAACATTAATGTCAGTATCACCTAGAAGATCAAGATCATTTGTATCTAAAAAAAAAAAAAAATAGAAAATATAATAAGTAAAATATCAACAATTTTAAATGAATTATTATTATATGATATGATATGATATGATATGATTAATTACTATTTTGAACTGATGAAAAGTAAGAATCGAAACCAGGATCACTCAATTGATTAGATGAACTTCGTGATCTATTTGAGCCAAAATTATTTTTGCTGATAGTGGTCGCTGACCTCTTCAAAAGTTCTGTAAACGGACTATCTACTTCTATAAAATTTTTAACATAAAAATCGTTAATGTATATATATATATATATTTAAAATATCTATCTATTACACATGTAAATCTTATATAAATACATACTTCTCATTGAAGGTGGGATAAGACTCGGTGGTAAAACACTGGGTAATTTTGCTCCAGTCAATTTTTTTGTTATTAGATACATTGCAACTGCAAATTCATCTCTACTAAGGGTACCTGATTTATTAACATCTGAGAGATCCCTATATTTAAATAAATGATTTTACAAGGTATCAGGATAATTTATTAAAAGATTTATTTATTTTATTTTTTTTTTATAATTTTAATTAAAAATTCTAATTACCATATTTGTGCTAATGCTGTCGGTACTAAATTTGATTTCATGAAGAAACTGGCAGCTTCATCACCTAATAATTATATTAATAATTTAATATTTAATTCTGAAAATTAACTTTATATATTAAAATCAAATTAATTTTTCATCAAAAAAAAAAATAATAATAATACCTGTTAAAAATCCTTTTTTGCTTTTATCTAAAGTATCAAAGAATCTATCATAAGGTACTTTATCTTCAGGAGTAACATCCCATGAATCATCCGAAAAATTGGGACTAACTGATCCACTGACTGACAACGAAGCTTGTCTCACTATCGGTGACATTCGTGAGTCTGTCACATTAGCAATATTTCTAGGAGTAAATGGTGGAAATGGTGGTGATGCTGGTGACACGAACTCTTCAGTTGCTCCAGTGGTAACAGTAGTACCAGCAGCCATTTCATAAAATCCTGGTGGAAGATTAGTTGGAATTGTTTTGATTGTACCATTCATTGATTTTTGGACAAAAAACATTGCAATAGTGAATTCGGTAACATCTAATTTTCCTCGTTGTTTTGAATCAGCAAGACTCCTGTTATAATAATTATATAAAATTATTATTATTATTATTATTATTATTAAGAATGAAAATTCAAATAATTCAGTTTTATTAAAAGTTACCAAATTTTTCCAAGTGTTTCAAAAGGAAGTTTTGATCTTTGAAGAATTCCTCTAGCTGTTTCACCTAAAAAAAAAAAAAAAAAATTTAAATTTTACCATTATTTTCCAAATAATTAAATGTATAAAAAAAAAAGGTGAAATTAAAAATTGGTTATCATTCACCTTCTAATAATCCATTGGTCGGATTAAGACTATTAAACATTCTTTTGTATTTTTCTCTTTCTTCCTGGGTAATTATAATTTTTGATGATTCTGAATTTTCTAAACCTTCAACATATACTCCATTGAAACGAGGAAGTGGAACATCTAAAATAAATAAAATTAAATTAAATAAATAAGATATATATATTTATATTTATATTTGAAAATTAAATGAAGAAATTTATAAAATACCTGTATTTATACGTGAAGGATCAGGTAATTGATCATTCTGAACTTGCGCAATTAATCTGAGAGCAACACTAAAGCTTTGTTGCGTTAAAATTCCCTGATTTTCATAATCAGCCATTTGCCAAATCTTTTAAAAAGAGATAAAAAAAAAATCGATACATTTAAAACAATGAAAATAATAATAATTAATAAAAATAAAAAAAAAATAATGATTAAAATATTATTAACAATGATATATTAATTGAAATATAATACGATAGACGATAAAGTAACTTACTTCGCTTAAGATTGTTGAGTGCAACCCGGATTTTGCGAAAAATTTGACAGCATGTTCACCTCCAATCACACCTTTCTTTTCAACGTCAGCAATATTAAATAATTTTCCATAAACAAGCTTTTCTTCGGGTGTCAAAATAACTTCGGGACCTAAAAACCAATATGATAAATAAGTATATGTAAAAATCGAGAAATGAAGGTCTCAAATAAAAAAAATATGGCTCAATTTTACCTTTGGTCATTCTATAATGAGCCATGTTTAAAAATTACCGAGAGAAAAAAAAGAAAAAAGAATACTTTTGGAATAGTAAAGAACGAAAACTTTAAATGTATTTGTATAGTATCTTTCGCTAAAAATAATAAATAACTGGCTTTAAAAAAACTTGGAAATTTTTTATATAAAATCTGTTTTCACGTGTCAATCTCGTGATCATGATAGATCAGGTATTTTTATGGTTGATACACTTATTTAACCTGAAGTCCGAGGTCTATAATTTTATCCTGGATCCCGGATATCCGAATTTCTTTTTGGGAATGTTCAAAAATCTTCAAAAATCTTCACAAATTAAAAGTACAACATTTTTATTCTTTCAATATCTTTAAATAATTTTTATTAATAGACTTAGGCGATCATAAACGAAAAAAAAAATTGATTGATTAAATTAGTATATCTGATGGAGTTTATAATTAAGTAGTGATACGTGAAAGATCGCACTATATCATATGATTCGTATAATAAACGATCGAATCTCTCATTTAAGACCTTTAAAAAAACAAAAATTCTCGCGTTTACCTTTAATAGCACCAGGTTCGTTAGTTAATTATAATAATAATAATTATAATAATAATTATAATAATAATAATAATAATAATAATAATAATAATGAAAGATTTAATTCCTGTTGGCACGGATGTAAACGTACGAACTTTTCTTGTTTTTTGTCTATTTTTCTTGAAAGAGAAATAATTTACTTTCTTTCTAGGTTTATTTCACGTTTATATATATATAAAGCTTTATATAGATCCAATGTAAAGTTAAATCATTTATTTATAAGTTATCCTGTATCTGTGATAAAAATAATTTTTAACCCATATGATTTTGTTTCACATTAAATTAAGTTATTGTAATAGCCTATTAATCGATTCATTTTATTTTTGGTGACTTATTATTAGTTTTGTGTAATTCCCCGCAGATCCCAATTTCAAATGAAAAAATTCAACAGATCAAAAAATATTATATTAGTGACAAATAGGTGTGAGTGCAAATTTTTTTTTTTTTGGTTATATAATTTTAGGAAGTTGTATTGTGTTTATAAGTAACTTATATCTCGTTTAGACTAAAAAAAAAAAAAAACGAGATCACAATTTTAACATACGCCACACCAAAGTGCCACAAGAGTTATTTTAAATTTGGTAAGACCAAGATCAAATCAAATTCCGATAAGCAGTGAATTTTCTTTTTTATTTTGAAAATTTTTTTGAACAAATGTATAAAATAAAGTATCCTTATAAATTTAATTCAATTTTTCATTTTATAAAAACAAAACCTAAAAGAACGAAACATCTAAATTATTTCTCCACAAGTCATCATCATCATCATCATCATCATCAATGCGTTGATATAAAGAAACAATTAGTAAATTTTAATCGCTTCCAACATTTTGTTATTACAATAAAATATCCAATTTCATTATTACGTTATAATTATTATAACCGATTACAAAGTACAATAGTTCATCAACAACAATTAAAAGCATTAGAATCATTAGATTATGGTGATGATTCGATACTATCCAGAGAAAAAGAAAATAAAATTGAAGAAAAACAACAATTATTAGATCATGTTGATGATCCAATTTTAAAAGGAGAAAAAGAAAATAAAATTGATGAAATTGAAGTAATTCATCAACATTTCGATTATGTTGATGATCCAATTCCAAAAGGAGAAGAAATGGGAGGAGAAAAGGGAGGAGAAAAAGGAGAAAAATCAGAAAAATCTTTAATTGATGTTGAAAATAAAACTGGTGAAGAAGTTTGGATACATTATAAATCTTTATCTAATAAATTTAAAGATAAATTACAAATAAAAGATTTTAATAAAATTCTTGGAATATTTTTAAGAAATCTTTCAATTGATCCAGTATTTCACGATAGAATGTTAACAATATTAGATGAAATAAATTATAGAATGAAACCTGATGAATCTACCTATAACACAATGATGTCAATGAGTTTACAAAGGAAGAATCTTGAAGAAATGAAATATTATTTTGATATTATGCAAGATCAAAAGATTCAACCAAATACTATTACTTATAATGTTATGATCACGGCAATTGTTAGAATTGGGAAAGCGGCACAAGCATTTGCACTTTATGATGATATGAGAAAAAAAGGAATAGAAAGAAATCAAAAAACTTTTACAATGTTAATTCAAGCATGTGTAAAAACTCGTGATGTCAAACAAGCCAAAAGTCTTTATAATGATATGTTAAGAGAAGGAATTATTCCAGATGTAATTATTTATAATACTTTAATTAATGTGACAGCTAGGAATGCAACAAATTTAAAAGAATTAGAACCAGCATTTAATTTTGTGGAAGAAATGAAACAGAAAGGAATTACACCAATAACATCAACTTATAGTATTTTGGTTAAATCACTTATAGAAATGGGGAAACGTACTGAAGCATTACAAATTTTTAATCAAATGGAAAAAGATGGATGTAAACCTGATGCATTAATTTTAGAAGGAATTGGATTAACGGGATTAAAATCATTAATAAAGATGAGAGATACATATAATATAACACCTAGTAATGAAGATTATAATACATTCATTAATCAAGCAATTCGAGAATCCAAATTTAATGATGCGGCAGAAATTTTACGAATTATGTTACAAAATGGATTTCAACCTGATGTTTCAACTTATTCAATTATAATCAATGCTCATATTAAAAATAATGATATATCAAAAGCCATGCAATTATATAACGCGATGAAAATTGATAATATTAAATCTGATTCATACATTTTTTCGGCTTTAATTATTGGATATGTTATGAAAAAAGAAATTGATCAAGCATTTAAATTAATTGATGAAATGTTAAATTCTCATGTAGAATTAAATAATCGAACGATTAATCGAATTATTGATACAGCTAGTGAACATCAAGATATTAATATAATTCAAAAAGTTTTTGATCGATTATTAAGAATGACTAATCCTGATAAAGTAGCATTTGAAAGAGTACTTTGGAGAGTTGCACAATCTGGACAATTAACAATGGTAGAAAATTATTTAATTTTAATGGAAAAATATAATCATAAAATTGATTTTGATACTTATAAATCAATTATAACAGGATCTTGTAAAGGACTTTATTTATCGGAAGGATTATATTGGTATCAAAGGATGATCAATTTGAAATTACGACCAAATCATTTATTACTTTCAACTTTATTGAGATGTCACGCCGAACCAAAATATTCAAATAAAATGTTTGTATTATGGAATGATTTTCATTATTTTGGAATATTACCAGATGATGAAGATATTATGTTTGTATTATTAATTTGTCGAGAAATTGGTTCTTGGCAAATGGAAAATCGAATATTAAGACAATTAAAAGATTTAGGTTATAATACGGATACTTATAAAACTGCTTTAGATGCTATAGATTTACAAAAAATTGGTGATGAGGATAATAATAATAATAATAATAATAATACTAAAAAAAATGAAGGTATTGAAAAAATTCAAGGACTTAAACTTAATACTGGAGCAATTGAACTTTGGATTAAACAAAGAAAGATGTCCATTAATGCATATAAGAAACGTGAAATTGAAATAAAGAATGCTAAAGAAAATTTACAAAAATGGGCGAATAAAGTTGGAATTAGGAATGAAGCAAAATTAGATACAAGTGCTAAAAAAAGAGTAAATCAATGGTTACCATATAGTGAAATGGTAAAACTAAGAAAAAAGAAAGAAGAAGAAGCAGCAACAGCAACAGCAACAGTTCAAGACAATACTAATCTCAATATTAATACAAAATAATTAATAATTTATCTATTTATATACAAATCCAAATATAGTAAAGAGTGATGAGATCTGAGAAATGTACAACACTACTTATACTTATTTAGTTTATTTATTTAATATATCTAAGATCTATTTTTTTAGTTTTATTTCCTCCTTTGTATGACAAGCAATTAATAAATAAAAAAACTTTAAATCTGAGGATTAACAAAATTACCCATTTTCGTTTTTTTTTTTTTTTTTTTTTTTTACTTTTTTACTCTAAGGAATACATAAAAAAAAATTTTAAAAAAATTATGATAATTAAGTTAAAATTTTCTTTTATAATTTGGACATTTTTAATAATTCAATGCAATGCGTTAAAATTGTCTTTTGGTATGAATTAAATTATTATTATTATTATTATTTTTATTATTATTATTTTCAATAAAATTTATTTCGATTTTAATTTTTTATTTTATTTTTAAACATGAATTGTATTATAGTATCTCCATGTATTGAATGTATTGGATGTGTTGGACATCGTGGATATCCCGAAAAAAATCCAGAGAATACAATATTATCTCTTCAAAGTGCTTTACTTTTAGGTGTTGATGGACTTGAATCAGATGTTCGTTTAACAAAAGATGGAGAAATAATCATGATGCATGATCTAGATTTAGATAGAACCACTAATGGAACTGGATTAGTGGAAGAAAGAAATTGGAAAGGATATATTGAATATTTAAAATGTAAAATTGATAATAATGATGATAATAATTATTCGGATGAACTTTCTTCAGAAAATGTACCGAAATTTCAACAAGTTTTGGATTTATTAAAACGTGAAGAAAATAAAAATATTTATTTAATTTTGGATATTAAGGTATCATTTCATTTCATCCTTTTTTTTTTTTTTTTTTATTATTCAATCAAAATTTTTTTTGTTTTTCCGACATGAACTACGTGACAACCTCATGACACTTCGTGACACTTCATGACACGTGAATTATTTACATTATATATATATATTTTTTATCTATAGGAAGATAATAATATTTTAATTCTCGATGCAATTTTCGAAATAATTAAATCGAATGAACCTTACGATTTTTCTTCACAACTTCATTTCGGAGTGTGGAATTCGGAATTCTTAATTCGAACTCAAGAATTATTTTCAAACTACATACCAATTTCTCCTAATAATAATATTCCAATTTCTTATACTGGAGAGAATGTTACTTTGGCTCGAACAATATTCTTTGATAATGTAGAAAGTTATAGTTTTGATTACACTGTTATACTTCAAGATAATACCGGATTCACTAAACAAATAAAAACAAAAGGTAGAAAATTATTTGTTTGGATAGTTGACGAAGAGAAAGATATCGAAATTTCAATGTTATTTGGAGCCGATGCTATATTATCAAATGATCCAACGAAATGTATTAAGGTTCGTAGAAGACTTTCTAGAAATGCTAAAAATAGAGTTTCTCTTAAGTTGCAATATTAACTGCATACTGTTAATTATTATATTTATTATAATTTATTAAGATATTGTATTATTATTATTATTATTATTATTATTTTATTCACGGGACAATTAAATTATTATAATTAAATTTTGCAAAAAATGACTAATATGTAATTCCATACAACATTTATAATGACCAAATTTGTCAAATTTATTGTGGAGAAATTGCCAGAGTTGAGTTTAATTTTTTTTTAAAAAAATAAATAAAATAAAAATAAAATAAAATAAAATAAAATAAAATAAAATAACGTTGATCGAGAAATTGAATTCAAAAAAAATTTAATAAACATCACACCACTACTTTACCGTAAAACCAATTTTAGTAGCCAACCTTTTTTCTTTTTTTTTGAAAAAACTTTCGGAGACAATAAAAATTTATTTATCACATGACTCATGCAATAATAGGTACAACTTATAATTAGCCTAAAAAAGCCATGTGTGTAAACTTATTTTAACGTAAAATCCAAAACTCGAAACACAAAAGTTTATTCTACGAGGACATCATCGAGCGGTTATACATAACATAGGTCACAAATCATTAGTTTTATAGAGATTTTGTGAATCCGAAAATATGGATGTAGATTACGACTGTTTTCGCGATCATTCAAATGCATTAATTAATTTAGCATCATCGCAAAATGAAGGTGGTTCTATTCTTGATAAATACAAGCCTTTAAAAAAATTTGGAACACGCGAGTCAACACATATTGTTAAAGATGGTCGAATAGAAAAAAAAAAAGAACGTTATCGGTTATATGGAGTAGGTTCTTTTTTCATATTTTGTTTGTCATGGTTCTTAATCTTGAAGGCATCTAAAACTAATTTAAAGTCTACCACTGAAAAAAAAATTATAAATATATATATATATATTAGCATATACTAAAAAAAAAAGCTGGACAAAGTTTGCATCAGACTGTTTCAGAGACGTTATTCAAACTAAGTAAATAAATTATCAACTTTATATTTTACGAAAAATATTATATATATATATAATATATATATATTGTAATTGTCATCACAAAAAAAAAAAAAAAAACTTGATATGAACATTATAATTATTCGAAAAAATCTTTCATAGGAATTCAGGGAGGAAATGATATTAAAACATCGCCACATTGGAGTAGTATACCAGGTGAGTATTTTTTTAATCCCTTTTTTTTAAAAAAAAAATATTTTCAGTACTAGTAATATTACAAGTTTTTTTAATATTATTATAAAACCAGGTGTAAATACTTCGGATCGACTAAGGTTAGCGTCGACGTTACCAGGTGAGACATATTAAAAATAATTATGCAGTAACCAATCGTATTGTTTCTCATTTATTATTGGTCAATCGAGTCACGTCCCTGGAACGTTGATCTCCATCATATATTTATTATATACTTTCAACAATTCATCATAGGATAGACATAAGATGTTGTTTGTATTCTTGATTCGTTATTTATTATTGGATCATTATTTAATAATTTTAATGTTATTCTATTAGTATCAAAATTCGAGTTTAATTATAAACCAAATCTTGAAAGATCTGAAAGGTATGGAATATCAATTGAGAAAAATGCTCAAGAAGGAAAAGGAAGAAATGAAAACGCGATGGATATTGATGACGAATATGTCAGTGGCAAACGAAAATGTAAGAATCTTACTTTGTTATTCTTGATTATTGTTGTTGATCCTTTTATTTTTATTATTTTTTTTTTTAATATAACATATCAATTTGATTAATTTGATTTCATATTATTATTTATTAGTGGAGGAACCTATTACTACAAATAAATCAAATTCTATACATTCAAACAGAATGAATGGATTGAATGGATTAAATGGTTTAAATGGTTTACGGTCAAAAGGTACGGACCAAAAGAAGAAATTTCGGTTTGTTTCTTGTTGAATAATTTAAAATCAATTTTATTATTATAACAATAATCACAATAACAAATAATAGTAATTATAATTACAATGATAATTAAATAAACAGGAATAATAATTTCACCGCCTGTAACTCCCCGAAGCAATGGTATAATTGGATATCCATCTAGGAGATCTTGTATAACACTCCTTGATAGAATTGAACAAGAACGAGAAAGTGAAATCACGAGGGTAAATTATTTATGTCGAATAGTCTAATTTATAATTATTATTAGTATTTATGATGTTGATTATTTATTTATTTTGATTTTTACTAGATTAAAAATCGACGAGAGGCTTTAGAAACAAGTGCAAAATATCCACGTTTAACGGAAACGCAAAGAAATCAGGTAAATATATTACATAATATATATAGATATATATATATATTAGGAACAATAATAATAATAATAATAATATATACATATACAACTTATTTAGGTGAAACTTCTCTTGAACCCGGATGGTGAAAAATTAAAACCATCCACCGTAATTATTGAGAAGTTCAATATTGCCATCAAAGTATCAGACATCATGACATTATCTTGCGGAGCCTGGCTTAATGATGAGGTAAATTCTCTTTTTTTTTATTCCTCTCTCACTCCTTTCACTCTTTTACTTACCTTTCTAATTTCCTCTTAAATTCTTTTTTTTTAAATTTTTTTTTTTTAGGTTATAAATTTTTACTGCAATTTGATTATGGAAAGAGCAGCCTTGCATCCTAAGCGATTTCCACCAATTTATATTGTAAATACATTCTTCTATCCGACATTGATGAATTACAATGATGGAGTTGACAGAGTTGCTCGTTGGTTTTTGAAACCTAAAAAGAAGGTATTTATTTCTTTCTTTCTTTTGAAGTAAATATGAAATGTACTAAAAAAGATGCTTACCTTTTCCGTTTCTCTTTTATTTCTCTTTTATCTCGATATTGTTTAATTAGGCTCCCCCACCAAATTTATTCGAAAAAAAGTTTATATTTATACCCATAAACGCAAGTTCACACTGGACTTTGGCCGTATCGAATTTTGAATCAAAATGTTTTGAAATGTATGATTCACTTGGTTCGGGTTTCAGAACAGGATTTTTAACCGTAAGAAATTTATTTTTTTATTTGTGTATTCAATTATTGATAAATCTATCAAATAATATTATTATAAATATTATTAAATATTATAATCTATTATAGAAAGTGATATATCTTAAATTGTTTATTTATTATTAAATAGAAGCTAAAGGAATTTTTTAAACATATGGCAAAAAAAACCAATAATGATGATGATTTTGAAATATGGAAAATCAACGAACTAAGGGTAATTATATTTCGATATATTTTTATATGTTTTCATATATATATATATACATATAAATATTTATATATTTATTTATATATTGATATATATATATATATTCAGAGAAAAACGCCGCAACAAAGGAATTCAGATGATTGTGGAGTATTCGCCATGATAACTTTAGAACATTTATCTCGACAGGCACCTCTTTCATTTAACCAAGAAATGATGACATATTTTAGGGAACGAATGATTATTGAAATTAAAATGGGTAAATTATTAGAATCAGGGGATGACTCCGAGGAATAATAATTTTTATACAAACATACAAAATTATAATATGATTTGCTCTTGTAAAATTTCTTTCCTTTTTTTTTTTTTTGTATGATCGATAATAAATTATTTATGCATAAAAAAAACTTTTGATTTAGAGGAGAAAGTTGGAAAATAAAAAGTTCAATTTCTTGCAAAAACAAAATAATAATAAACAATAAAAAAAAAAATTGCTATAATATACAAAAGTTCTAACGATGCTATACGTATTCTGTATGCAACTGTTTTTTCAAACAAAGTAATATTTCTATTTTTTAACCATTTTAACCGAAATTTTTTTTTTTCAATAAATAAATGAAGAAATGTAAAGACAAAAATGTTTAGAAAAAAGGAAAGATAAAAATGAAATCAATTTATAGATCAATTTGTAATCTTATATACATATTTTTATTTAGTTTCTTTACATTACACAAACTCAGAGATAACAAGATAACACAATGGCAATGACAGTCAACTTACATTATATACACTGTACGTATACCCAAAAGCGAGGCGAAGTTAATTATATTTATCAAATTTATCAAATTTATTGTATTTTTTATATTTATTATAAAGATATTTTAGGTATTATGCATGTTGGTTACAATTATTCACCGAAAGATATAAAGATTTTTTTTTCCAACATAATCCTCATTGATAATAATAATTTGTTTATATTACACATTCCGAATAATATTACTGAAAATAAATTCAGAATTATATGCACCGGTCTTTAAGTTTGAAGGGAAAAAAATATGAGTTATTCAAAATCGAGTAAATCCTGCATGGATTCCGAAGCGGATAACTAGTATTGAATTTCTAAAAGAGACACAGACGTTAAAGTAACAATAGTGTAATGCTGATATTTCTATATTAGGTGTTAAATAAAAGCTCAATAAATACCAATCCTCTGCAATTGACTGTGTTATTCTTAGCGGTACCATGATATGATACTGGCCAGGAATTTTTATCAATACCAAGCCATGTGTCATCGCCATTATCATACTTTCTAGAGACTTTACAGCGAATCGTCTTCAGCCACATGGTTTGATACTGAATACCCTCCCCCCTGCATGTATATCTTTCCTCTATCATTACTATTCGTAAAATCATGATGATGCCTTGGGTCCAAAATTTCCAAGTAATTACCATCACTCACGCGAAAATCGATATGTAATGTAGACCCTTTTTGAATTCTGTAGTCAGCACACGTTTTACCATCTTCCAATTACTTACCTCCAAAAACTAGCTTTTGCTGATCGGGTGGAACACTGTTCTAAATTGGAAATTGTATCACTTCCTCGAACTTTAAGTATCACGATTTTTACCAGCAAATCACGACGGGTTTTCCTTTCTTGAAATTCTTTTTCTGATATAAAATCTTTCAAAAGGTCAATGTCACTAGAGATCGTCATGATTTATTATGAATTTACAGATAAGATGGAATTTTGTTGATTATGATTTTTGATTTTAGTAATGACCCTTACGTAGTTATATTAAGTTTTAAAAGATGTTTACCAACATATAGAATGCTATAAAAATAATTAACTTAATTTCAATATTTTTTCCCCCAAGCAATATGTCGAAAAAGACAAATTTTCCCATAAGAAAAGTATTTGGCAACAATTACAATGTGTCATGTGTTTCAATTTGCAAGAAATTTCTTCGATAGTAAAATGATAATATTGTAATAATGATTTAAAATCAAATCGTTTGGCATTGTAATTCATTAATCACGATGTCAAAAAAAATTTTTTAGTATATGTAATAATTTCTGCTGAGATATTTTAAAAGAAAGATGTTTTATATTACTCTAAGATTTCCCATTTTTGGTTCCCAGAAAAGAGTATAATAGCAAGTGTGAAGCCCATTACGTGCTTCGCCGAAACAGGAAAAAAAATTGGACTTATAATTATCGCAAAAGTTTGATATAAAAAATTATTACCGATAAAATACAAATCTTTCATAGCTAACACTATACAAAAAATTAACTTGGGCTGATATCATTCCGTTGTATGACTTTTTGTCACTGATTTTCCAAATTTATTTATTATAAATTAAATATACAGTCGGACCTGGCTATAGTTACAAGGTTGTTTCCTATGCCTGGGACTTTAAAAATATGTGAGGTATAGCAACATGTTATATAACAACTTGTAATTAGCCAATCAAATTTTGGTTAATATGATGGTTGTTACAAATAAGATATATA